GATGTATCTTCAAATATTTTAGGTGTAAATTATATGCATTTATAAAAAGAGATCATGCTATTAACATTTTATAGTTTTTTCATTTAGTGTATTTATTTTAATGTATTTTTATATCAGTTGCCATATCACTGAAATGTTGTTTTTAGTGATTATACAGTATTCTGTTATTACAGATTTAATAATCATCCCATGTTGGACATTTATTTTCAACCCTGAACTCTTAAGAACACTGGTATGAAAACTATGTAGCTAAATAAATATGATTTAAATGACTTCCTTAGAATATATTCCTAAAGTAAAACTGCAGGTTAAAAGACCTTGTACTTTAAGGTCTTTGCTGTCTTGTTCTCTAAAAAATGTAGCAATGTAAACTTATCAGTGAAGTGTGAGGCAGTTAAATGTCCCTAGAGCCTTGTCAACATGATTCTTCTCTATCTCAGTTTGATGGAGTGAGTAGGTAAAAAATTGTTATTTTAATATTTATCTCTGTAATTATAAGTAACATTAATTATTTGTTTTCATTCCCTATTTGTATTTTTTTAATTATCTTGTATTCCTGTTCAAGTCAAAAATGTATTAATTTCATCCTTAAGTCTGAGTGATAATTTAGCTGGGTATAAAATTATAGGTTAACACATTTTCTCTTAGCACTTTCAATTCCAATGTCTGGTATAATCTATTATTATTCAATCTATAGTCACTCTTCTATTCCCTTGCCAATAATCTGCCCATTCTCTTTGAAAGCCCTTAACATTCTCCATTTCTACCTTTGTATAGTTTTACCATCTTAATTACAAATTATTTGCTTTTACAGTCCTGAGAAGCATTCCTGTGGAATGATCCCATGGTCACTTTTACCTCAGCTCAATGTCACAAAAGAGTACTTAGTTAGATTTCATATGGGTTTCTTAGTTCAGGGCTTCCCCAGAGTCATTAGAAGAATTCCGTTTCAAATGCATGTATTGCACAATCTAGAATATCTAATCCCCATAACTTGTCTTGTTTACATCTGTTGTCTTAAGACTTCAGTTTCTATGCCTCATCCTTTAGCCAGCAGGTAGAATTTTGCCACCCTTTCCAGGCTGTTCAGTTTATGCAGGAAGCCTAATTTTTGCTCATATTCACTTGGTTCTGTCAGACATTTAAACTCAAACACATAGGGGTGCCTGGGGGGCTCAGTCGGTTCAGCGTCCACCTTCAGATCAGGTCATGGTATCATAGTTCTTGGGTTCAAGTCCCACATTAGGTTCTGTGCTGACAGCTCGGAGCCTGGAGCCTGCTTCGGACTCTGGGTCTCCCTCTCTCTCTCTGCCCCTCCCCCACTTGTGTGCGCGCGCGCGCGCGCGCTCTCTCTCTCTCTCTCTCTCTCAAAAATAAACAAACAGTTAAAAACAAAAAAGCCTCCAGCATATAAAGGGTTTATCTGGTCTAGTTATCTTTATCAGTAATGTGGATTATTTTCACCACCAAGATTCCTTACTTCATTTTTGGCACCTACAGATTGTCTTTCCTTATTTTCAATCTCAGACAAATATTTATCTTTATAAAATATTTTTATTTTTTTCTATTAGCAAGGAAATATAAGGGACCTTCCACATCAACTCCCTCTGATGGCATATCGTAACATACAGATTTTCATAAACAAACTTGTGAAAGGTACAAAATTCTACAAGTCCTTATAGTATTCCACAATGAAAGCAACACAATAGAGTGATTTATCACAATGACACTTCAGTGCAATGGGGAAAAGGATTGTCTTGTTTCAATAAATGGTGCTGTGTCAACTGGATATGGAAGAAAGGTAGATTGACTTTCCCTCATTCAATTCACAAAAATCAATTCTATAAGAACTAAAATATAAATGTGAAAGATAAGAACATATTTAAAGGAAAACATAGGAGAATATCTTAGTGACTTTTGTACAGGCAAGAAAAATTTTAAAGAGGCCACTGAAAATGTTAACTATTAAAGAAACAACTTTAATCATTAGACTCTTAAAATCAAAAGCTTCTGTTTATCAAAAGACATCATTAAGAGAGTAAGGATGAAACACAGCAAATGAAAAAATATATTTTCATTAAATATATCCAATACAGCATAGAGAATTTAGAAAAACTACTACAAAGTAGTATTTAGAAGACAGGATATCCAAAGGAAATATGGGCAAAAGACTTGAACAGACCCTTCATATAAAGATATTCAAATGGCTAAAATGGCTAATTATACATTAAAAGGTGATAAACTTCCTCAGTCATCAAGGAATTGTAAGCCAGCACCACAACATGACAATACCCCACAGTCACCAGAATGTGTAAAATAAAAATGACAGACCAAGTATTGGTGAGCATGTGGAAAAACCAAAACACTCTAACACTCTTGAAGGACTGGAAATTGACACATTAACATTGGAAAACTATTTTATTGTGTCTACTGAAGCTTAGCACATGCATACTGTATGACTCATTAATCCTACTCCTGGATATATACCTACCAGAAAATAATGATGGTATTAAGATGTTAGTAGTCTGATATAGGTAATATATTTTCAGCAATATTCCCATAAAATAGTTAAAATGTAAAATTTTGTATTTAATAAGTTTCAATCATCCAAGAAAATTTTACTTATAATATCTTTCCTTCTATCATCATGCTGGATGGATAAGGTATTTGTATGAATTATAAGATTTACTGCATGGAACTAGGTAAAACAGGAAAATCCTGGGATTAGGATAATGAGTAATTTGAGCCAGAATGTATGTCTCTGGAAAGCGATTACAGAAAAAAGCAATGCAAAACCAAACCAACACAAAACAAAATAAAACACCAAGTAAACAAAATGTCACCTCCAGGGCCATTTAAGAGGAAGGGTGGACTCATGCTATTAATATTCAGTGGAAACAGAAAAAAACAGAATATAGAGATATTTTCCACCTCAGCTCTGAAGTTGACTTCTAAACATCAACAAAGCAGGATGCTCAGAAATTCAAAGATCCCTATTTTATTCTCAACTCTCCCCAGCAACATCTTGCTCCAGCCATCTCATGTACCTAGCTACTTACAGATACAAGGGATACGCCAAGTAAATAGTTCTTTGTCAGGAATCCTAATGCTTTTTCTGTTAGTAAAATGAAAGCAGACACACAGAAAAATGGGCAAATGGTATTAAAAAGAAGGAATACAAATGAACAATAAATGTTCAGCTGATGTTCAAATTCACTATTAAACCCAAAACTGCAAATAAACTCCCTTCCACCCACCTACCTCAAGAACAAAAATTCAGTGGTAGACACGGTCTTGAGTCAGTGCTCTGGACACATTTGTACATTCCACAATTTTGAGCCTCAATAAGTGAGCCTCCTAAAGTCCTCCTGCACATAGGATTGTGTCATAGCATCATTTCTGGCCTGACTTGTCTGCTTACCAGGAGTCTTCTCAACTAGGAGCTCACCAGGAAGCAACAAACAGTATGTACGTGTTGGAGGGGGTGGGGGAAGTCACTAGCAAGGACAAGCAAAGGCAAGAGCAGAGGAAGAGAAAAGGTGGGAAAGGAAGCAGCAGAAAGCAAGAAAAGAAGACAGAAAAGATGGCCAGTATTAGGAATGGCGAAATGCCTACAACTGCAGACACTCGCATTACCAGAGGCTGTAATTCCCAAGTTGGTACCTCTTCAATTGTGCATATTTACCAATGGTGTACCTGTCTTCAGGGTGACATATGGGATCAGAGGACCTTAGCAACCTTCTCCAGCTACAGATGTATGTTGTGCATATGTGTGTTGTGCATGTGGGCGTGCACATGTGCACACACATGGGAGCCACTAAAGCATTGGTGATTGGTGCCTTCTAAAGCTGCAAAATCACAATTCAGAAATAAGAATGACTGGAAATCAAATAAGCCAAATATCTAAGAAATGGGTTAAAAGCTTCAAATCAACACTGCTATGTAACTGATTATTTAAAACCGCACACATTTAAGACATAGACTTGTAATGTCACAGAAACACAACGGTGGCAAATGCCCCATCTCTCCCTGCAGGCTTCATGCAGGCCTTTCAATATCCCTCCAGGATGTCTATGCTGCTAAAACACATTTTTAAAAGTGAGGTATCTGCCTGAGTTTGTCTAATGGTGAATGCATATTAATCCGTATTCCTCACTGACAAATTTTACTCCTTCAAGGGCACGTTCAATTAGCACCTCAGTCAGGTTTACTCCAAAACACCAGTTGTACACCTACAGTGTGTGAGGCCCTGGGAATGTACAGCTGACTAAGACAAATCCCTACCCTCGAGCAGCTCACAGAATACGGAGGAGACAGAAAGCTGAAATGCTATGGGAGATGTGCATCCCTGGGGTATCGAAGGGGCACGAGACCCTGAAGGAGGAAGCTCCATCACTTAGAAGCGAAAATGTGTAAGGCCTGACCTTCCTTTTGAAGGCTGACAAGGAATCCACAGGACAAAGGGGGAAGAGCCCTTTGGGTAGAATAAAAGACAGAGTGAAAGCCTCAGAAGAGTGAACATCACAGCCTGCTGTGAGAATGTGGGAAGAATGGAAGAAGGCCATGGGGGTCTTCCCAAGAAGTCTGGTGTTTATGGAAGGGATGACATACGCACTGCATGAATGACAGTAAGATGGCAGATGGCATGGGGCAAAGGGAGACCGACAGCAAAAGACCAGTTAGAGCTGACTTCAAAGTCCCAGCTAGGAAGGGGGCTGCCCTGGGGCTGCAGCCGTAGGGTTCTAGAGAAGAGAGACCCAGACGGGGGAGGGTGGGGAGGTGAGAGCAGCAGCAGGACTTCTGTGGGGAGAGGAACTCCTATTCAATGCAAACTGTAAAGAGTAGCTGCACAGGGTGAGGGAATGACAGACCACATGGGCGGTTTGGGAGGGCGTTTGCTGTGCTCGTTTCAAGGAGAGGTGATGAGATTTTGCGAGAGACTAAGTTTGTCCAACGAGCACATTAAACCACTCGTCTCTCCCGCAGTGCTCCCTCCATACTTGCGAGCACCTCCACCATACAACTCATGAACTATCTGCACATCTTGTTTACTAACACAATCACCCCAATTACGATGGAACCAAAAGATGGCGATGTTCTCGCTCACTTCTCTTCCGGTCTTCGGCAGCACCTAGCAATGAATGGAACAAAGGGGAAACCCTTTCTGGGGAACAACGTTTTCTCCATTCTAAGAAAAACTATCCAAATACGATTCTTGAAGATCTGCGTCGTCTCCCTCCATTCCCACGGACAGAATGTAGATGGCCTTAATACCCTCTACTAGGCCTAATGAGGATATTACCACGCCAGATTAGGGTAGCCTCCCTAGATTATTATTTAAATAAAACTGACTCGCCAGATTATTACAAGTATAGTATTCATAAGAACTGAACCTTTTATAGTTTGATAAGGACCAACCCACTGACTTAATACCCTCTATTCAGCTACAGAGCTACACGATAATGAAAAAAGTGAAGAGGAAGTCAGTATGACTCCAAGAAATTTGGCAATGGCACCACAGTGCTCTTCCTTGACCCCCCTGGACAAGGTCCCTATTAAACTCCTTCAATGTGTGTACCAAGCTTCCAATAAGACTGAACATGTAGTAGGTCCTCAATATCTGCTAATTGTATGTATTTGTAAATGATAATCTTTCATTCTTTTTAGAATTTGGAGGACATTTATAGAACAAGAACTCAGCAGGAGTTCAATGAAGGGGTACATTTTAATTCTGGTAAGACCAAGTAACCAAGTACCTGTATGTTTAGAACCTCTCCAGATGAGTGATGGTCAGGATCTTAAAAATCTCTGGCAAACTGCTCCGACGAGCTAAACCAAAATCGGCTCTGGAAAGATAATGTGTTAGTAGTGATACTTTGCTGGATCGAATTCGTTTTCCCTTAATACTAACACACCCCAACGTTCAATAGTGATGAAATGGCACATATGGATAGTGCTGTTTGGTATATGCTAACAATCTTGGCAGGTTTCCCTTTAATAAACCACTCCAGATGTTAGTCACAGTCATTATGCCTGCCATCATTCAGCTTTAGGAATGAAATACTGCTGTTACAATTCCTTGTTTGTGTTTCTATGGATCATCTGCAAGTATAAAGCCTGCGCAGTAAAGACAGCCCCATGAATGGGCTCTGCATAGAAACGTGCATAAACAAAGACCCAGCGATAGGATGACCAGTGTGAACTGGTAACTATGAAAGCACACATGCCATTAGAAGTTTTTGATGATTCTTTTTTTTTTTTAACGTTTATTTATTTTTGAGACAGAGAGAGACAGAGCATGAACAGGGGAGGGGCAGAGAGAGAGGGAGACACAGAATCTGAAACAGGTTCCAGGCTCTGAGCTGTCAGCACAGAGCCCGATGCGGGGCTCGAACTCATGACTCCGAGATCATGACCTGAGCCGAAGTCGGTCGCCCAACCAACTGAGCCACCCAGGCGCCCCTTGATGATTCTTACATAGCACACTTCAACATCTATAATAATGAAACATTTACACATTCCTATGAATTAGTACATCAAAATATGTCAGTAAAGTGATAAACCTGATTCCAAGAATTATCTGTGGCACAGGTAAAACAGGCTATTGTACATGAAAAGATATCTACTTTGCAAACCTGTTCCTAGGAAAACTTAAATTGAGATACTGTGTGCTAAACTTTTAAGAGTACTGCTAGAATCGGGGGGGGGGGAACATGAGATTGTTTTCATTTTCTGACGGCTTAATTTGCAAAAAAAAACCTTTTTGTGATCCTATTAAGAAATGAAGTAAGTCAAAATAGATCTATAACTCAGTGTCAGAACAATAAATTAGAATGATTTAAAGAAAAATCCCTGAAAAGGTATGTCTGATGTTGTAAGTAATGTGATTTTCTTGACTTTAAAATGAATCTACTTGGTGAGGAATAATAAACCCAATCTTTTGGGACATTTAAATGATCATGCTAAAAAGCCAACATTAACCATTAAAATGATTAAATTGATATTAAATGGCTGCTGACATTAGAATATTGAAAAGTATTAATAAGGCTGTCAGTGTCACTGAGGCACAGAGAAAGGAACTTTTATAACGAACTAATTTTACATTAAGGAGTTTAAGCAAAAATTTTATCTACTTATCCTCAAACCATCATGGGGGGAGTGTCAATACTCCTGTCAAAGCCCATTAGCTTCACTGAAGATAGTATAAAGAGAAAACTGCATTCAGATGGGAGGTTGGCCACAAATTGTGAGCCACACCACCTGAACTACCTTACTAAGCAGCATGGCATCAGACACCTCTGTCTAGGTATGTCAAAGACAGACAAGGACATTTTTAAAGCTTAAAACTTACACGATGATGTGCAGAAACCTCAAGTAAACTGTCCTAAACCTCCTGAGTAGCATGGACTGCTGATTGCACTCAAAACTTTCAGAGGCGACCACAAGGCAGGGTACCCACCCACCAGCCCTCGCACGGCCCCTCTAAGCATTAAGTGCCATCGACTGGTGCATGGTGGCATAGCACAAAAGACTGTGTGGCAGCCTATCGGGAACCATGCCCAGTACATCACTGCACTTATGTAAACATGGCCAACGACAGTAAGGGGCAAAGTGTTATCAAAATCAATCTGACATTTAAAAATTAGCTTTTTTGGGGGGTGGTGCCCGGGTGGCTCAGACTTAAGGGGAAGCATCTGACTTCAGGTCATGATCTCGCCGTTTGCGAGCTGGAGCGCCACACCGGGCTCTGTGCTGACAGCTCAGAGCCTGGAGCCTGCTTCTGATTCTGGGTCTCCCTCTCTCTCTGCCCCTCCCACACTCACGGTCTGTCTGTCTGTCTCTCTCTCTCTCTCTCCAAAATACATAAACATTTAAAAATATTACCTTTGTCTTTCAGTTTATTTATTCATTTTGAGAGAGACAAAGAGAGCAAGTGAGAGAGGTGCAGAGAGAGACAGGGAGAGAGAGAATCCCAAGCAGGCTTTGCACTGACAACACGGAACCCAATGCGGGGCTCGAACTCACAAACCGTGAGATCATGACCTGAGCCGAAACCAAGAGTCAGACACTTAACCAACTGAGCCATCCAGGCACCCCTAAAAATTACCTTTTTATACCAGGAATAACTCAAGGACCTGGGACACATTTCTGGTTTGTATGCTTTGCTAGAGGATTTTACTGCTGTGATGAGCAGCTCTGACTGTCCATCTATAGGGAAGGTTAGCTAGAGAACAGCAGCTTCTGGAGGAAGGTTGCCTTGGGTTCAAGCCCCATCTCTGCCACATGTTAGCACTTCCAGCACATTGGTCAAGTCAACCAAACTCTAAGCTTCTGTTTTCTCATCTGCAAAATGGGGATAACGACAGCCCTTCCAGCTCAGGGCTACTGTCAGAATTGCATGAGACAAAGCCTGAGAAAAACTCAGCACAGGGCTACTCTCCATAGGCCTTCAATAAAGCTTTGCAGCGATTTCTTTTTTCTTTAAGCTATTTTTTAAAGTTATGTATGTATGCATATATGTATGTATGTATTTTGAGAGAGACAGAGAGACCAGAAGCGGCTGAGGGTCAGAGAGAAGGAGAGACAGAATCCCAAGCAGGCTCCGCATCATCAGCGCAGAGCCAGATGCGGGGCTTGAACCCAAGAACTGTGAGATCATGACCCAAGCCGAGATCGAGAATCAGTCGCTCAACTACTTGAGCCACCCAGGCACCCCTCTTTAAAGCTGTTCTTTAACCTCAGTTTTTAAAATACTGTCTTAAACGTATACATTCTGACCTTTAAAACTTACCACATCCATGTAACATTTCATGAACACATTCTTATATCCTGTTCCTTCTCCTTATATTTAATACTGTTATGGAAAGGAGTTTCCCATGCTTGTCACTATTAACTGTCCACACCTAATCAAAATCAAAGTTAAGTGTCTCCCAAAGCAGTCTCCATCATGAGGAACAACTGTCATTAATGACCATCCTTTTCTCGTATTTCACGAATGGAAAGTGACTACAGAAACATGCAACACATGGAATTATTAAGACTAGAACATACATCCTTCCTATGTTCTGGGGCTGGGGAGTCCTCAGATTTAAGGGAAGTTGACAACAGAAAGGGAAAGAAAATGATATAAACAGAGGGGTCATTACAAGCCCCGGGAATACCGGACCGCCCAGAAGCAAGCTATCAGGCTTCCGGGATCACTTGGGCTACTCTCGATCTCGATCACGAGTCTCGATCACGAGACTGGCACAGTGGGGACCAGCCACGCCTAAAACAAATCAACGCCAAGGCTTTCTGTGATACTGCACTGCCTCTGAACACCAACCTGGGGTCCTGCGGCTTTCTAAGACCGGTACCACCAAATCTCTCTCTACAATGCACTACACTTCAAGCTACACTTCCCACTTCTGAAAATACCAGTCCCATCTCTCCCTTCCCTGTATTTATTCATACTTGTCCCACCTTCTGTAGGCCCACCCTGCACCCCACAGCCCTAGGCTGCATCTGTGACAGCCCACCTGGCCTTCCAGAATCCAGTGCAAATTCCACTTCCTCCACAACACCTTTCTGGATTCTCCATAAGCACAATTACTCTCTCATTATAGCCTTTAAAAAGCATGTATTTTCCACTTTGAATTAGAGTTCTTTAGTGATTTTCTAGATTGCCTCTATTATACCCTACTCCCTCCCTGAACAAAGAGCCTGTGGGGGATTCGTCTTCATGTTTTCCACACAACATCACACATGGTGGAGAGTCAATACATTTTTTGGGAGAAGGAGTGGATTAAGTTAAATGTTACAGATATAGTGCTGGCTACCAATGTGCCGTGTGTTTCTGTTTATTTCTGTTCATTAGCCTTTTAACAGTCCTAAAACAGGAGGTCATGAGAAAACAGTAGGACGATTTAGTCTCTGGGATCTGACTGCCTAGTTTCCAATCTTAGTTCTGCCACATATTGGCTGTGGGACTGTAGACGAGTTACTCCCAACAACTGAGGTGTATGTCAAAGTGGAAGATGAAGCTCCTGCCTTCAAAGGATGGGCAGGAATTGGAACAGATTGTGCAGATGAGGTGCTCAGCAAGTAGTAACCCCTCCAGTGTTAGCTATTAAAACGGTTATGGAAACACAT